TATTGTACAATCCCATAGGATATTTTGTTTCCATAATCTGTAATTATAGAGATAGAATAGTTAAAATCTTTGTACAATAATAATTTCACATTCAAATAAGAGTTCTAATTAAAATTTAAATAGAAGTTTTACTTAAAGTCCATATCCAATTAGTTTACATTTAATTATGTGTATAGTCATAAAACTTCAATTACAATTATAATTAAGTTTACAATTTTCATAAGTTTTATTTTACTATGGTTGTCTCCATAGGAGGAGGATTGTTTGCGAACTAAACAAGTTTTATCTTGGAATCGCATAGAGTCGAAAGTACCCATATGAAGGAAAGACAGTGTCATTAATGTGACTCTCTCTCTACTTATGTTTTATGTTTATATTATTCTTGAATTATATTTATTAAGATTTATCAACAAACAAAAATCGCCCATTTTTCTCAACAATCTAAAGTCATATTGCCTTTGAATGGTACCTCTATGATTGTGTATTTATAGGCTTCATTTAGTCTATGGTTCTCTAGACATACACTATTATGTTTATGTGATTACTGTAGAGATTTCACTCAATAATGTAAAAACATTTAGGTAACACTCTACATAAATTTTTTATCTAAGAGAATAAGAATTTCTTCAAATTTTACTAGTTCAAGATCAAAAACGAATCATCTACACAAAAATCAAAACTCTATGTAGTCTATTGTTCTCCAGATATATACTATTATGTTTACATGATTACTCTAGAGATTTCGTTCAATAATGTAAAAACATATAGGTAATCCTCTACATAAATTTTCCATCTAAAAGAATAAGAAATTCTTCAAATTTTACTAGTTCAAGATCATAAACAAACCGTCCATACAAAATTCAAACAACACTACTTTAGATTGTTGAAAAAAATGGGTGATTTGTGTGTAGATAAATTCTCAATAAATGTAATACAAGAATAATATAAACATAAAACATGAGAGAGTAGAAAAGCATGCTTCATAGAGTAATGTCAAGATCGTTGTCCTAAAGTCGTGTTGTTTTCCTTTCGTACGGGTACATTCGACATTGTATAGCTCCAAGACAAAACTCATATTGCTTGCAACAAGTTCTCTTCCTATGGGTACGACCACAGGGAAGTAAAGAACGAATATCTCTCTTAGTTGCCAAAATTTATGAATATAATAGTATGAAATGTGGATATTGTATATTCCTTGAACTTGTGTTTCCATATTTCTTCAAACAATGAAATCACTCCTTCTTATAGGGACAAATATAACCCTCACCTCCATGTAAAATTAAGCCATTTAATTAAGGTTTTAAATTCATATTAACCTGAAAATTAAAAACAAAACAGAAAAATTTAAATGAAAATAAATGAAAATAAATCAATATTTATTTTGGAAGTTTAAAGCTTTTTGTAAAAATCATTACAACAAAAATAAATAAATAAAAACTAGAAATTTTCAACCAATATTGAAGGGATAATACACAATGTTTTCCTTAACAAAGTGCAAAAGCAGATTTTTTAGTTTAAATAACATTTTGCTCAAAATTTGGTAAGGGGGCCAAATTCTATGGTAAACCTACTTATTCTAAGACATGTAAGTTCACAATAAAAGGTACCCATACTACTTCATTTGAACACAATACGGTATCTATTGTTAAGGGATAAAAATTTCACATCGATTAAAGATGAAAACATCAACCAACTTATAAAAGATTTAGCTACTCATCTTGATAATATTGATCTTTTAAGATGGAATCTCAAATCTTAACATACTACTAGAGTCCATTAAACTCCAATGAACGATTCGATCCGATTAAGACTAAAAAAAATGAGCACACAAATTTCAAGATTGGTTTTCTTAAACGAGCTACCATCTCGCGGGGACATGTTAATGGATAAAAATCCCAAATCGATTAAAGATAAAAATATAGACCAATTTATAAAGGATTAGGCTACTCCTCATAATAATGTTGACATTTTAAAATGGAATCACAAATATTAACATCCGTAAATTATACCAAGGTACCTATATCTATCCTGAAAGTTAAGGATAACAGAAATTGGACACGGCAAGATGGTATTTGTACCTATCCTCTCTGGTGAAAGTACTAGCAAAATGGTATCTATACCTAGAGTGTGTGTGTGTGTGTGTGTCTGCGCGTGCTAAACTTAGGCCATGTTTGAGCCACATTGTTTGGAAAAAATATATTCTTAAACAGTAATTTGACATCATTTCAATCCCACATTTTTCAATAAAATAATATTAAATACAAATCTAAACTTTTAAATAATATTAAATGCAAATCTAAAATTTTTCCTTTTTTTAACTACAAATTTTTCATCAATACACTATACAAAAATGCGTTCTTATGAAAACAATATGGCTCAAACAACGGCTTAAAAAGAAAATTAGAGAGGGTTTACATTACTTTTGTATGCTTCTCCCAATATTGACATCAACCATGCTACCTGCATTACCATAGTTGGCAATTTTTTTGACGACCATAAGTTGGCAGGAATCTACATCATATATTTTAAAATAATTTTTTAAATCAACAACACGAATCTTGACAACACATGTATTGTCAACAAAGATTGTGCAAATAGCTTTATTCTATTGACATTTCGAACGACGTAGAGTTTACAGGGTAGGTATATTTATTCACCCATGCAATTTTAACTATAGGAAATTATTGATACTCATGGATTGGATTAGGTATGCATCTCCTCGATGGGTTGGTGATCTTTTGGATACGAAGTCTACAACAGGTTATTTCATTTTCTAGAGAGATTCTTTGCTTTCATGGAAAAGTACGAAACAATCAGTCGCGACAAGATCTTTTGCAAAGTCTGAGTATCGAGCTATGACTTATATTGAAGTTAATTGGTTTTTGTGACTTCTTGACAAGCTTAATATCCTTATTCCAGTGCTAACTGCTCCAATGTTCTATAATATACAGGTCTCATCCAGAATGCTAAGAATCAAATTTTTCACGTATGCATAAAATATATTAAGACTGATTACCATTTTGTGCATCATCAATTTTTGGTAGGCGTCATCTCTTTTCGGTGCACCTTCTCTCCCATGTGGCTTGCTGATTCTTTTACCAAATCCCACAAATCTACTCGATTTTGACAACTTGTAGGCAAATTCAATGTGGTTTAAGCATAATGAGTTTGATGAGAGTGCTATTATGTATATATTGTGATGTAAATTATGCATATCTTTCTTTTATTTATTAGAAGGGTGGTTTAATCTTTTCGCTTCTTTAGGTTTTATATTCTTGTATTTTCTAATTGTTCTATAGATGTTTTATACGAATATGGTATGTGAATACATGAGG